AAGTGTTACATAAGAAATAAAAATTTTAGTAACTTTTGTGCACGTTTTTATAACAAAATACGTAATTAATAAGGCAAACAGTGGGGTTTTTTCATATAGTGCAACAGTGAGACAAAGGTCTACCTCCGTGTCAGTGTCTCTTGGGTAACGCTAACAGACCTAATAATGCACTAAATATCCCATTACAATTTAATATATACTTTTTTCCCCTTTTTTCACCCTTTTCTGTTCGCCATAGAAATAACTTATTTCATATATATAATTTCAAATAAGTCATATCTTCACTATAAATAGTAAATTATTTAATGAATAGCATTTTGATTTACTTTGAAGAATATGGTATAACTCGATCATTTAATAAAGTAAGTTCACATGACAGTTATGTAACTTATTTACAACATGTTAATCATTCGCATGTTATATAACGTACTTAAGAGTACAAATATAAAGTGTAATAAATTGTACAGTATAACAAATGTATTAGCAATTCTGAATGAACCTATATACATGTATTTTTTAATCATTTTAATTATTTAACCTAGTTCAATTTGAATTTAATTTCTAATATTTAATAACAAATAAAAAATTAAAATATTGTCTTTACACTAAACAGATTGAAAGTGTTTGACTGAAGCGCAAAGATATCACCAAAATGTCTAAAAAAACTTATAATTTATTAGAAAAAAAGTTACAAAATTTGTTTACAAGTTTGAATTACTAGAAAATAAAATTTCAACATAAATATTACTTCAAAAATATTAAAAATCTTAATTTAAATTCATTTAAATAATTTGTTTAATTAGTTAATTTGAAACATTAATAAAAATTTCCTGGTGCTTAACAAAAGTCATTCATTATTTAATTGCGTTGAATGATACGACCGGTTTTGCTCATATATTCAATCGCCCCCTCCATATGATCGCACACCGGGAGCCCAATGGCCCGCAACCCATCTCCGTATCTCTTGTCAAATAGGGCTGACATGTGTTCAGTCATGTGTCGCTTCCAATCGCCGACTTTGGCCTCACGTATGAATTGTGAGTTCGAGCGAAACTCCGGCGGATTAATAAATGAGTCTCTCATCGCATCGGCCGTACACTTGACCGCAATGTTGGCCACCGTTTCGGCGGTCAGTTGTTTGCCGAGAAAGCGGCCGATTGTGCCGACCATTGCCGTCAGGTCTGCGCACAGCTCTTCGTACGCAATGAACAGTACGTTCGGGTGATTGCGAGTGCCGTAAGTGAGCCAATAGTCGTTCACGTGTGACAACCAATCGCCGGTTAAGAGTTGACCGGAGAGGAAAAGGTGGCAGAAGTCATCCCAATCCACACCCGAGCCGTACTCTTTCAACATTTTGTGAAAATGATAGTAAGAAACGCAAACATCCTTTGGGTTACGGACTATGTATATAACCTAAAGTAGTAATTATGCAATATTTATCATTATCATTTTATTTAATGAATCAAAGAATTGCTATTTAAACATTAATTTAAAAATAATATTTTATAAAAGTTGCAAAAGTAGTGCAAACCTTATAAATTACTATAATATATAAAACGCTACAAAACATACTTTGCAATCGATTGTCGCAAATGATGGCAAATATTTGGCTTCAAAATGTGTGGACACAATCCGCGGGTTGTCTAACGTCTCAAACGACGACAAATGATTATTTTTGGTGGCCATCACGTCGTCTACAATGCGGTGGCCGTCTCTGCCCACCACTCCGTCCGACACAATACGGCACACAATCTCCTGGAGCCAAGTGATGCCCGACTTGGGATACCCGCACACAAACACGTCGCTCGGCCTAACCCTAACCGTCTTTATGGCGAGCATCCACTCCAGCCAACACACCTTTTGAATAACACCATCATGCTCCACCACTTCTAGGCCGCTCATCGCATTCATATATTTAGCACGATGGTCATTTTGCGAGTTAGACATCTCTCCCTAGTTATAGTTATTATAACAATTAACTGATGCCTTGTTTATAATAGATTTAAATGATCATGGGACAATCATATTTGATTGTGTGCTAAAATTTAGTGTGACTTAACATTTTATTTCAAAGTAAAATGATGTGTCGTTTAATATTTAATGAATTCACTTTTATTTATAATGACATTATAAAATTGTACATGCATAAATAACAATTTGTTTGCCAAAATTATTTAATAAATTAATGAGTAGATGATACATTATTTAATAATTTAAAGTAAATCTTCATTTTAATTTCTTTCTTTGTTTTGTCTCACTTTGATCACTGATTTTTTCATTCATGTCCATTTATTCACTGATGATTTGAATTGATTCATTAGTGATAAATCATCACTTGAAGACATGTTTATTATATGAGATATTTTACACTAATGTACTCATTATTTATGAAACTCATAAATAGATAAGAAAATACATATAGATTTTAAACATTTAAAGTAACATTTTGGAGTAGTGCTAAAATTTAGTGTGACTTAACATTTTATTTCAAAGTAAAATGATGTGTCGTTTAATATTTAATGAATTCACTTTTATTTATAATGACATTATAAAATTGTACATGCATAAATAACAATTTGTTAATAATAAAGTACCATATTGTGCTATTTTATTGATTGTATGTTTGATATGTTTGATTAAGACTAGCTAAAAATTAAATTAAGAAAGGCCTGGAAACAATGCAATAAGATAATTACATTTGGGTATGAACAAAATGAAATACAATTTAAACTAGGTGTTCAAAAACTGGTTACATATTTTAAGTAGATTAACGTCTACTCAATCTTAAGAGATCAATTAATTTACTTTTTCCTATATCTGTTACAAAATTTTTCAAAAATTGTTTTTATTTTATCTAATCGTTTATTTCCTATTATTTATACATCATTGGAGAGAGAGAGAGAGAGAGAGAGAGAGAGAGAGAGTCACTTGATTTAGCAACATGTACGCTTTGACTACAATATGCTACTAACCATGATCACACACCGGTTGGCTACCCGTCCACTTGCCATCCCTGCAGACACGACTGATCGGACCGATCACTTGCTTTGTCGTAGCATTGGTTGTGGTATTAACGCAAGAATAGATGGCCAGATCGTCGGGAACCCCGTATTGGGAACCATTCACATCATAAAAATGTTTGTATTGGACAAAGAGGTTGGGGTCGGGCCTATCGATGGCCGGTATGGGACACGTCTTATTGGGCAGACAGCGGGGGAACGGGTCGAGCCATTGGCCGTCGGGACTGCAGCGGACCCGTTGGTGACCCACCAGATGGAAGCCCTCGCGACACGTGAACACAGTGTATGTCTTCTCGCGCACCAAATGGTCGGAATTGAGCGGCTTTTCGGGCGAACCGCACGACTCGCTCAAGACATAGAGCCGGAGGTCGCAGAAAGTGGTGGTGATGTTCACCGCGTGGTCGTCGACCGCCACCACAGCCCTCACCACAATCTTTTCGATGGACTCGTCGACGCCCTCCTGAGCGCCGATCATCTGTCGCTCCGATTTGTCGCACACAAAGCTAATCACTTCGGCCAACGGGTCCGTGTCGTGCGCCCGGAACCGCTCCAACAGACACCGCTTGGAGCTAATGATGTCCTCCATTGTGGCCGACAGTTGCAGCCGATTCTGGTCGTAGAGTTGCCGAAGAGATCCGCCGGCGCTTCTCAAGCGAAGCGAAAAGTAGTTGAAATAATAACCGCGGAGGACGTGAAAAGTCCAGCTCTGGCTCTGATTCACGCTCCAGAGGAAGCGTGTCTTCGGACAGTCTGTGGTGTCGTATTTGGCGTTATTGTTGACAATTCTGGCCATCCGTCGCGGCTCTACTGCTGACCACTTCATCTCCCGATACAGGGGCTGACGGCCACCCATTTCGGTGATCTCTATGCGCTTCAGTAGAACCGCTTCCACTTCTTTGGCTGCGAAGAAGTGACAAAAATAGTTTTCAAACACATTATTGTCTCGTTTTTTGTTTGTGTTTTGTCTGAAGACTGACCGCATCGGGGAAGTGATCCGTTCCAGCGATGGTTAAGGCATTGTCTGTGTTTACCTTCGATGAGCTGGTCTTTGGTCTCTTCGCACTCATAGCTGATCACTGATTGTTCGGCGTATCGGCTCTTAAATAGGCTTAGTTTTGTGGACTCCGGTATCGCCGGTAAACCGCAGTCACCGCTCGTCCAGTGGTTCCGATCGTTTAAGAAGAATCCAATTATCAATACATTGCTTATCAATCGGTTAATTATCATATCTGATGGTAATTTAGTTGATCCGATCGTAAAGCCATTTATTAGTTGTTATTATTATGTATTGAAGCGATTAAACTGAATGCGATTGATGTCATAACCGGGATGTTTAAGCTTTAATTCCTGTATTTTTTCAAACTTATTCATTTAATATGGGATTTTATTTGTGTTAATATAATAATTATGTAATAACTATATTATTATTTCCATTCTCTCTTTGCTATAACCGCTAACAGCGCTGATCCGGAGGGAAGAGTAGTCGTCCAGTGGCCGCTCGTATTGGCTCTCATCGGTGTCGTCGATCATAATG